CTCACTGTGTTGCCCTTGGTAGAGTGCCATGGTATTACAGCTCAAAGCAACCACAAACTCTTGGGCTTAAGCAATTCTCTAGCCTCAGCCTCCCAAGTAATTGGGACTACAGGCACTAGCCACAATGCCTGGCTTTTTGTGTGTGTGGTTGTCGTTGTTTAGCAAGCCCTGGCCAGGTTGGAACTCGCCAGCCCCGGTGTATGTGGCCAGCGCCCTAACCACTGAGCTACTTTCTCACTCTTGCTCTTTCACTCACTCTCACTTTTTTTAGCTTTCACTACCTATCTGTGTAGGGTAAAGGATTTAATTGTAATAACAAAAGCAAAAATAGGAAGAAAATAATATATTTGTTCACATCAAAATAAACTTTTGTGTTTAAATAAAACTGAAAGCAAATATGATCTCAGGAAAAATCATTCATGACAGATAAGGACTTCATTATATAAGGCACTTTTACAAATTAATAAAAAGACTACCTAGGAGAAAATCGACAGAGAACATGGATGAATAGTTCAAAAGATTCTCATCACTAGTAAACAAAAAAAAAAATTCAACAAAAATTAAACACCATTTTCCCTATGAAGCATTATAAGTAACAACAATAATATAGGCGGCACGTGTAGCTCAGTGGGTAGAGTGCTCACTGGCCACATACACCCAGGCTGGTGGGTTCGAATTCAGCCTGGGCCAGCTAAACGACAATGACAGCTGCACCAAAAAAATAGCTGGGCGCTATGGCGAGCACCTATAATTCCAGCTACTTGGGAGGCTGAGGCAAGAGAATTGCTTAAGCCCAAGAGTTTGAGGTTGCTGTGAGCTATAACACCACGGCACTCTACTGAGGATAATATAGTGAGACTCCGTCTGAAACAAAAAAACACCTTGAAGAAGAATTTTATCTACTAACTGTCCTGTAGAAAATATTTAGGGATTTAGATTATTATAGTTTGTATACAGATGTCTTATTCTGTATTGTTCCTTAATTTCAGGAATAAGAATTCATGACTAGAGAAGTACAGGCAGATCTTCTAAAAGTATAAAAAGGGATTTTGTGACCACAGCAAGCATGCAACTTAAAAAGGTGCTTTGAATGCTGATGGGAAAATTAAATACTTTCAGTGTTAATAGATTTCTACAAATTGTCAAAAAACAACAACAAGGCTCGGCGCCTGTGGCTCAAGCGGCTAAAGCGCCAGCCACATACACCTGAGCTGGCGGGTTCGAATCCAGCCCAGGCCCACCAAACAACAATGATAGCTGCAAGCCAGAAAAAAAAGCCAGATGTTGTGACAGCTGCCTGTAATCCCAGCTACTTAGGAGGCAGAGGCAGGAGAACCACTTGAGCCTAGGAGTTGCAGGTTGCTTGTGAGCTGTGATGCCATGGCACTCTACCCAGGATGACAGCTTGAAGCTCTGTATCAGAAAACAACAACAATAATAATATAGTAACACAGTACTCACTATCTGCTAGGCACTGTTCTCAGTACATTACTTAAATTAATCCATTAGTTCTATAAGTATGTATTAATTACTGCAGTTATTCACATTTTATGGATGAACAAATTGAGGCAGATAAAGATAAGTAACTTGCCTGAGGTCACATAGCAGGTAATTGATAAGGCTAGAATTTAAATCCAAGCTCTC